GCAATGGCAGGCCCCGGGGCGGCGCTTGCAGCGGATGACCCAGCGGGGAAGGCGGGGGAAGAAGGCTCAGTGGGTGGCGTCCTCGCTGTGAGCCCCAACCCAGGCGAAAAGCCCATGACCCAGCGGGCCCTGACCGTACTGATGGTGGTGAGCGGCGCGGTGCTGGTGTACTTCGTCGTCAGGACTGTCAGGTGAGGCGCAGCCTTGATGAGCTGCCTGGTGACCTTCCAGCGGATGACCCAGCGGGGAAGGCGGGGGAAGAAGGCTCAGTGGGTGGCGTCCTCGCTGTGAGCCCCAACCCAGGCGAAAAGCCCATGACCCAGCGGGCCCTGACCGTACTGATGGTGGTGAGCGGCGCGGTGCTGGTGTACTTCGTCGTCAGGACTGTCAGGTGAGGCGCAGCCTTGATGAGCTGCCTGGTGACCTTCCAGCGATGTAGCTGTCAGTGGCCTGGCGTGGCCCACTCTCAGGGGGGCCTGCCTGAATGAGAGATGTGAAAATGACGGTCTTAAAAGCTTCTGGTGCCTTTGGGAGGATCTAAACCACCAAGTAGTTGCTCCCTTTTATTTATAAGTTTTAAATAAGCACCCCACCTCCAAAGCGCTTTACCTTGCCTCAAAGGGCAAACTTTCCCTGAAGAGGGAGTAATCTTGTACTCAACCACAATATATTTTAATACTTCTGTCTTTCTACTCTATATACTGTTTACTTTGTCCTTTTGCCTATTAGAACGCAAACTACTTAAGGGCGGGATTCCTATTTAGTAGCTTTTGTATTTGTACAATATTGCCACTTAATAGGAATAATAATCAGTGTTTATAAGAGTAGATACAGAGTATCCTGTGTATTATGTTTCTTATAAATAATGGGTTGGATGATAACTTTTGGGGGATCACCTTTTTCATTTTGCTTCTACCTTATTTATAATATACATATATGTGTGTGTGTGTGTGTGTGTGTGTGTGTGTGTTGGCAAAAAGTAGGTTTACGGTTTTTGTATGGTGTCGCGTATTCACAACTGTAAACCTACTTTTCTACTTTTCTTACATATAAATGTTTATTGCCATTGATTTTTCTATTTTTATTTCTGTAAAGCTTGGAAGGGTACAGTCTTTTCAGTCCGATTCTATTAGATAACTCACACGTGTTAACCGCCCAATTCTGAACTATATCTAAGAAAAACTGCACTCCTACCTTATTTATAATATACATATGTGTGTGTGTGTGTGTGTGTGTGTGTGTGTGTGTGTTGGCAAAAAGTAGGTTTACGGTTTTTGTATGGTGTCGCGTATTCACAACTGTAAACCTACTTTTGCCCACCCCTTACATATAAATGTTTATTGCCATTGATTTTTCTATTTTTATTTCTGTAAAGCTTGGAAGGGTACAGTCTTTTCAGTCCGATTCTATTAGATAACTCACACGTGTTAACCGCCCAATTCTGAACTATATCTAAGAAAAACTGCACTCTTTAACCTGTATCTATTGCATTCATTCCGTCTAAATCCTAAATTTAGTTGTCTACATGATGTCCAAAGCTTGACTGATGCTAGCAATGACTGGACAATGTTCAGCACTCATATACTGTTTGCTTGCAGATTACAGGATGGAAATTACTCATTTCGGTGAATTCCCGTTGTGGACCCCCACTTCCACAGTATGTCTGACAGCACACCAGCATTAGTTGGTTTTGCCAAGGAGGGGAGGATAAATCATAATTTCTTTAACTGGTAGGAGGTAACATTGAAAATATTTTACTTGTAAAATACTTAACGCCCATTAAACTTCCAAATTGTTTTGTTTTTATCGAATTCAGTTATATTGAATATGTGACTAGAAATAACTTCCACTTTGAGTCTGGAAGTATTCCAAACAACAATTAGATTCTCTCTGTAGAAATTGAAAAATATATATGCAAGGGAGTAGGAACCCTAGTAGGCTGCCTAAAATGAATATATAATCTCTATGAGAAGACGCTCATTGTCTGTCTTATTCCCTGCTAAATACTCAGTCCTGAACATTATGTACAACGTTATGTAGGCTCTGCATAAGTAGTTGCCTAATGAGTGAGTGTTCTTAGTGAATTCTATATTTTGCTATATAGGTAGGTGGTGAAGATTTGGAAATTTGTGGGAGTCCAAAATGGGCATTCACCGAAATGAGTAGTTTTCATCCTGTATTCTGGAAGCAAAAAGTATATGAGTTCTGAACATTGTCCAGACATTGTTAGCATCAGTCAAGCTTTCTTCTTATTGGTAGAACAAAGCAGTATGAAGACCTTACTTAATACCAATTAGAGTTTCTTTCTCTGTGTAGGGCATTTTTTCTCACAATAAAATCTTAAAAAAAAGAAAAGATTACCCTTAGATGGTCATTATTATTTTTTAAGCAAAACCGTAGGGTTAAGCCCAGCCGGGGTTGAGCATCAACCTATGAGCCAGAAGTTACATTTAATTCCAGTCTGTGCACATGCCGGGGGTTGCAGGCTTGATCCTCACTGCGGGGTGTGCAGGAGGCAGCCGATCAATGATTCTCTCTCAGCTTTGATGTTTCTCTCTCTCTCTCCCTTTCTCTCTGAAATCAATAAAAATATATTAAAAAACAAATAAACAAAAATCCATAGGGTTAAGGCCAGTCAAATTGCTGAGATACCTCATGGAGGACAGCTGTCCTGGAGGACAGTCCAAGCCTGTAGCTGAATTTTCATAATGGAGAAATAAACTGATTGCATTAAGCCATTGAGATTGAGATTGTTACCTCATCATAACCTGTGTTACCTTGATTAAAAGACTTAGCCTCTCATCATTTCCAATATCTTTAAAATGATGTTTACCTCAGAGGTTTTGCCATTTCAACATAAGCCCTTCACAGTTGTCAGAGCTTGGCAAGAAAAACTAAGGAATACATGGGTTTTTGACTGCTTCAGCCTACAAATGAGTCTAATTGTATAAAGAACTGGAAAGTGTGTGTGTGTGTGTGTGTGTGTGTGTTTTCCAGATTTGGGGAACATTAGTAATGTCTGCCATATGAAGTGAGAATACTAAAGTTCATAGAGCTGGAAAGTGTCCAAGCTCTTCCAGAACCCAGAGTTTGAATTCTACTTTTGGCATTCTTTCTGTATTGCTGAGTTCCAGAACTAACTGATTATATTTTTACTCTTTCATTGGGATGAATTTGCGCTGTACAGAATAGTAAAACAAATTCTATTGATACTGAAAATAATAAGCAATTATTTCTGGCTCTTTCCATCCTTGTCTCTCTAGGATGGCTATTTCAGTTTTTATCATTATGTTCTCACACAATTAGTGTCTCAACCAGGAAAGAAGAAAGGGATCCTGAATGCAACATCTTTTTCTATATTCTTTTTTTTAATAAGGGAGAAAAATCTTTTTCCAGAAACCCTACTACTCCATTTGTCTGAACTGCTTCATCCACTCAACCCTAGACAATGACTGACAAAAGGACTGTTACATTTTCATGATGGGTTTATACCAATAATTATGACCATTGTGTATCTCTTAGGTCTGGGCTCAATTGCTGTCTAAACAAAATCATGGTTCTGTTAAGGGAGAAGCAGATTCTGTTACAGTGATAAAAACTAAGAGATGGTTTAACCAGAGGAACTTAAATGTACTTACTAATGCAAGTAGCTACCAAGTTATTACTCTTTACCACAAAAAGTTTAACCAAAAAATACAGTTCACCAGGACAGTATATCCAGTCTGATATAAAATCATTGTATTAGGGATCAGAAGACTGGTAGTGACTTTTGTCACTGTGGTTAACATTACTGTGATTCACTAGGAATACAATATGGCTTAATGTTTAAGAACCCAGGCTTGGGAGTCAAATTGCTTGCATTTGAGTATTTTTTCCAAGCTCTGCAATATTTTTTTTCCAAGCTCTACCTTTATATGTATAAAATGAGGGTACTTATGTAATTGTTATGTGGATTATATCAGGTAATGTTTGTAAGCTCTTTAGCTCAATGTTTGACATATGTGCAAACTCAGTAAGTTTTTTTAAGTGATTTTTTTTTATCTAGAATTGTAATTGTAATACATTTGGCGGGGGGGGGGGGGGAGAGTTACCATCTTATCTACTACCTCCCCATACCATACTCTATATGTATCTGACCTCTGAAAGTATAATCAGTAAAAGAGGTTAGGTCTAACAAGGTTGGGAGAAATAAAAGGAGATTATAAGAGAAATTGGCTGGAGGAGTTGGTCACAGAGTCAGTCAAAGGCCAGCTGTGATGCATCTTGGGGGTGCTAGATTGTAAATAGGACTTTAAAGTTGTTTGGGAAGTAAACCCATGCTGAACTCTTAAAAATGGAGGTAAGAATAATTATCAAGTATCACATCCCATGGTTCAGGGCCTAAAAGAACACTGGGAAATCCATGAACAGACAAAGAGAGATAGCAAAGGAGCTATATTCTATGAGTGTATTTTCATATAGGATACTTCATAGCTAAGCTCTGTGACATTTACTTAAGAGTTACTTCATTTGGGGTATCCACCAGAATACCATCAAATGGGAGACAAATATAAGCTTAAGAACTGATAGGATGTGCTGAATTACAAGGAGCTTGGTGAGAAAAGGCTATCAGAGAAAGCAAGGTTGCAATATCCTAAACATAGACGAACGTGCATTCATTTTTTTTTTAACTTTTGGGTGTTAGCAGTGAATGTTTTACTGTAGGTGACCAGTAGCAGGTGCTTTTTTGGGGGAATCTTCTATTTAATGCTGCACTTGGCCAAGGTTGTTACAGTTTCAGAGCTTGGTATCTGAGAAGCAACCAGAGAGGATCCAATAATAATTATGAAAAGAAAGCAAAAGAATTAAAAAACACAGCAGTTTGAAAACTTTACTTTGGAATCAGTAGCTCCTGAGAGCACCATTGCTTTACATCAAAGTGGTGGAATAATCATAATGACATTGAGCGATCAGTTAAAGTAACTCATGTTATCCTGTACAGTATCGCTGGTATCAGATATGGCTTCCATGTAGAATGCTGATAATTTTAAAGAGAAAAGCAAAAATTCAGTTTAGGTTTTGAAAAGATAAACTTTAGTGAGTAAATGAAAGATACCTACATGTTACAATATGGCACATGTTCATACCCAAAAGAAAAAAATGAAACTCCACAGCACAGCATATTGGTGGATCTAATTTGTGTAGTGTATGAGAATCACCTGGGCTCTACCTAAAACACCACACCCGGAATGAGTGCATATTTAATGGTCAGTCATTCTAGTACTTTTTTTTGTGTCCTGAGTCAGAAGCTACTATTCATATTATGATTTAAAAATTGGCTAGCTCCCCTGAATTTTGCTGTGGTATGTTTCTGAAGATAATGCCATTTAGGCTTTTCTTATTCCAAAAGTG